GGAGAGTAATATGCAGGACTCCATGGTGCATCTATGTCACTATACCTCTGGGATATAGGTTGCTGGTGTTGCCCTGATCCAATGTGAGGTAATGTGGGATGATGCAAGTTAAAATGTGTCATGGGCACCTCACCACTTCTCTGGCTATGAAGGCCACCATCCACATTGATTGGATTAAAGAACTGATCAGCTACATGTAAATCCTCAACCGAACCAAGCACAGGAAACTCACCGTGTTGCTGCTTCCTGAAATCCGAAGCATCGTTTAAATTATTCAATGCATCAACATACCTTCTCTCAGTATCCCTCTCATCCCCATCAATGAAATGTGAAACATCTTGTTCAGATTGTGAGAACAAAAATATTCTGAGCCTAGTGAATCCATCACTTGAACCCAATTTGTCATACTCTTCCATCATATTAACCACATCATCGTCATTCACAACAGAGACGAGGGCATCAAGATCTTCATCAGGCTGCTGGTACTTTAAGACTGCAGTCCCATCATACAGCTCCCTCATCTTACTCATCAACTCCTCATAACCAATATCTCGTGGAACACTCACAATTCGCGTCTCTCCACCAACATAGCGAAGCTTCCCATCTTGGGGACGGGGCATTATATTTCCGAGAAAGCTACATAAGAATTTAACCCGCTGGCTATCATCATTGCAAGCAGGCGCCGGATTCGGTGCAGAACCAGAACCGGGTGTAGAAGGTCGAATTACAGTAGAGCTATCCATTACAATTTGTCGTCGATCAATTCAGTTCTGCCTCGCTTAAGCATTGAAATCCTTCATTAAACGTGAACACAACTGGTAATATACAGCTTGCAAGTTTCACCAATACAAGCTAGAACACGAAAGTGCTAGCCCGATCTATTGCTCGACTTTATCGGATACGTAAATTTTCACTTGTGAACGTCGTGGAAGATATGGAAAGCCATCACATTTCCCGAGAATGACCACAGGTTTGAATAGGGACAGAGAATGCCAACAAATACATATAAAGATAAAAAATTTAAAGGGAACGAAACCAAAATAATGATAACAATAATCCAAACCCAAAGTACAAATCCAAAATAAAATTTCGGCGAGCAGACTACTCAAATCGCCGGGGAGGCATATTAACAGGCACCTGAATGGGCCAATTCGATAATACCCGGAGACCTAAATTCAAAAATGCCCAAGTCAAAAAAGGTTAATCAATGGAATCTATTTCACCACTTCCATGAACATTCGCAGCTCTGCTCTCTAATTCTCGTACTACAGCTGATCATTTGGAGATGGGGAATCCAAGCTGCTGATCTGGCAGAGCAAAGAGGTGGAAATCAACAAAAAAGAATTTAAAAGAAGAAAACGGAAGAGTGATGAGCAGAGTGCAATATTAAGGTGACGATGATGAGGAGGGAAGGAGGAGAAGAGGAGGGTGACGATGATGCTGGCGAAGAAGGACCGCCATAGGCGATAGGGGCTTCTGGGTCGCTCCAAGATGCGATGCCTGGTCGCCATGTAGTCTCCCACGTGGCACTATCTCGTTGCCGCAATTTTTGGCATCTTATTTTATCTGTCGCGGGATATGCCTCCTGCCTGTTATGGCACGGGCGGGATGCTCAGGAGAAATAATAATAATAATAATAATAATAGTAGTAGTAGTAGTAATAATTTTTATTATTTATTGATTTGTTGATTTTTTTTGGCCAGAATTTGATTTATTGATTGATGATTATAATTAAATTTTTATATTTTTAATTATAATTATTATATTAATATTACAATTGGTTGCGTTTATGGAGTAAAAAACAAAAGCAGCTATTAATTTATTTCATTAGCATGAACTTTTGGTTTAAATTTAATATTTAAAAAAGAATTTGTTGAAATTATGATCCAATAATTAATATTAAAATATAGGAGAGGGAAAAGAAAATGAGACAATTAAAGAAGCCAAAGTAAAAATAAGCTGTGTTGAAGGGTAATATGATCTGTTTTAAATTTTATTTTATTCAGGACTATCTTTGAGATTCATCACTTATAAGCACGTTAGATTTAAATGAACATTAAAGAAAGTTTGCTAATAGATTATGTGTATGTGAACAAAGGCAGAATTTTAACATGCAACAATTAAATATGAGGTAATGTAATCTTACACGAAGTCAAAGAAATAAATACTACTGTTCTCTTCAATGATTTAACTTGTTAAAAATCTTATCTTAGATATAAATAGATTATGCACATTTTAGCAAAAATAAATATGATTCGTGAGAGATTTTATTCGTAAGAAATAAAAATAGATTACCATCTTTAAACAAAGAAACCATTAAAGACTTATCAATGACATTATTAATATATATTGTTTACAATATATTAATCATACTGTAAACAATATATATTAATACGTCTTTAAATATATTAAAAAAACATATGTTTCATATTTCAATTTTTCTCCATATTTTATTATTGGGTTTATATAATTTTTTGTCCTTGAAATTTAGGTCTATTTTGATTTTGGTCCTTCAAATTTTAAATCCATATTTTTAGTCATTAAAATTTAATTTGTCTTAAAGCGTTATCTTTTAAATTGTAATAGTTAAAATATGCTAAAATTTCATAAACAACATTGAAATGGTGATATGGATTTATTATATAATATCTAGCTGGATCTTATGTGAATAGCAAAGCTAAAAAAATAGGTCCCCAAAATACTGTTATTTTCCTCACTGTTCACTTGATAAGCTATTCACTGTGTTGCATTTTGAAAATTTATTCTCTTTATATAATCATTTTTCATGTGTTGATATTGAAGACTTTTTTTGTTTTGGACCTGTTATTCACTAGGTATCATTTAATAAGTCTAAAATTTTACTTTAACGGCGTTTATAATGTTTTAGCAAATTTTAACACTGTTAAATTTTTAAAGACTAGTATTTTAAGATGGTCTAAATTCAAATTATTAAAATAATAAATTTGAAATCTGAGAGCTTAGAACTAGAACGAGGCTCAATTTTAGAGATAAAAAATTAATGGGTCCGTTTGGATCAGCGATTGGAAAAGCAGCTTATAGAAAAAGTAGCTTATGGAAAAGTGAAGTTGGTAAAAGTTAAATTGGATAAGCTGAATTGTGTTTGGATTGGAGTTCAGACAAGCTAGTTTACAAAAATGAGATTGGAAAAAGCTTGTTTGGATTATAGCTGAGTAAAAGTAATTTTGGCTGAAAAATTACCAAAATGAGCATGAGTTTTAATAAATAATGAAATATGATTAAAAAAATAATTTCACATAATACAATGAAATTACAATAATTTAATATGAAGAAGTCATAAAAAATATTTTAAATATAAAGTGAAACATGAAAAAATAAAGTATATTTTTAGGAGCATATTTAAAAATAAAATATATTTCTAACTTATTCATTACTTTCAACTAATTTTAATTGATTTTTTATTATCTACAAATTAGTTATTTGAGGCTTATAATAAGAACCAAAAGAAGTAATAAATTTCTTAATTTTTTCTCTCTCCATATTTCAAAAGCCATAAGCCATAAGCTATAAGCCATAAGCTGTTAATTTTAGCTTATAGCTTATTGTAGCTTTTCAGACAAAAGCCCGATTGCAAAAAAGCTGATCCAAACAAACCCTACTTTTGTCAATCGAGCTTATAGAGCTTATAGAGCTTATAAGCTACTTATAAGCTCCAAATAAGTGTTGCCAAACAGGCACAATATATATAACAGTCATTTCACATGTAGAAATCAGGCTTCATATGTTTAATACTCCTCCGGTCCTAATTATAAGACCCAATTGACTTATTTGAGGAGATTAAAGAAATAAGTTAAGTTGGTTATTTATAATAAATAAGTGTTGTCATTCCTAAAATATTCTTACTAATTAAGTATATTGGCTAAAACTATCATTATTAGAAGGATTATCTTGGAAAAAAATACATAAATATAAGAGACAAAATGGATTGGAGTCTTATAATTAGGATCAAATAAAAAGTCAAATAGAGTCTTATAATAAAGATCGGAGGAGTAGCTGAACTAACCTCTTCCTCCGTCACAAGACTTTACAACTTTGTTTGATTTTTCAGCCTGGAGATTGTATTTCGAATTCTCCTTCTCGCGACCACACTACGAAAATGCGAAACATTTCTATTCCAGGGCCAACCCAATCTAGCCTTTTCAATATCACACATTAAGTGTTCGTTTTCCACCTCCTCCCAACGTAATTATTCCACTAGAATAACAATTTGTCTTATATTTAAAAACAACTATCTCTTTTGGTTTTAAATAATTGAGTTGTGAATATTAAAAAAATTTAGTTAAATTAGTTATTTATAATAAATGAGTATTATATTTTCTAAAATATTTTTTTCTCAGTCTAAAATACTATTAATAATCATATGCATTAAAATAAAAACTCTTTAATATATGTAATTACTGTAAGTATTATTTTAAAAAAATAAATAAATATAAAAAAACAAAAATGAATTGTGATTTTATATTTAGAATTATATTTACTTTTTGAGAGTGAAGGTAATATTTTAAAGTTTTTGGAAGTGACTTATGCTGTTTTATGATTGGATAACATCAAACGCAGCCTCGGTCAAAAAAAAAAAGAGCATAAAACGCAGCCATGAGTAATGACATTTCTTTGGACGTAATTGAGATTAAAACAATTTATCTCTGGCAAAAAAGTGAAACAATTTATAAATTATAAGTATGACTACAGGCCATTTAAAACAGTTTATAACATACCTGTTTAGGATAGTTTATAAATAATTTTTTAATAATAATTTATAAAATATAATATAAATATTACGAAACTGTTTCGATTTATATAAAACATGTTTATCGAGAAATTTTACCATGATGGCATGATCCCAACCAAACAGACACTGCAAATTGAGAACTTCTTGGGGGAGATGATAAATAAAGAAAAAGGCATAAAATAATAAATAGCTGGTCCCCTTCTCCTGCTCGTTGCTGACGGGAAAGTTTGTAAACATTCATGCTTTCACAATCGTTGCTGCAACTACTTCTACAGTTCTGCCTGCCTTTCCCACTAATAAATCTTCCCATTTATCCATTTCCGAGTTCTTCTGTTCCTGCACCCTTCTTCCATCGCCATGTTCCACTTCCCCTTCCGCCTTCTCTCTCGTCGTCCATACCATCGCCGCCACCTTCATTTGACCACCACACAACACCTCCAGCTACCACTCTCCTACCCCATTTACCTCATCTGGGGCTCTAACACCGCTGTTGGCAAAACCCTAGTCTCCGCCGGCATCGCCTCCTCGCACCTTCTCTCTTCCCCTACCCTGTTACACTACATTAAGCCCGTCCAAACTGGTTTCCCTGTCGACTCTGATTCCCGCTTTGTTTTTAACAAAGTCTCTCAGCTCTTTCTCCGCCGCAACCCTTCATTTTCTCTTTTTGCGTCCAATTTAATCATCAATGCCTCAGGCCCTGCTTCGAATGCTGCGGGTGAGATTGAGAGTTGTGGGAGGGAGATGTCTGTGTTGGATTGGCGTGAGGAAAAGAAGTTAGTGGGAGAGGGAAATGGATTTTCTGAGTTGATTTGCAAGACAATGTATGCGTGGGAAGAAGCAGTGTCACCGCATTTGGCTGCAGAGAGGGAGAGTGGAACCGTGAAGGATTCGGTGGTGCTTGAAACATTGCATAGATGTTTTACGGATGTGTTGGAAGGTGGGGCTGGCAAGGAGAAATCGGAAGTCTTATGTGTAGTTGAGACTGCCGGTGGTGTGGCCAGTCCGGGTCCTTCTGGGTCACTCCAGTGTGACTTGTATCGGTATCGTTTTTATTCTTATTTTTCTTAAAGCATATACGATCTGCATGAAAAAGATAGGGAATACGGAGATGGCTAAAATTTGTGGCTTTTATCACTTCTATAGCGAAACCGATCCAAATGTGTGTTTTAAATTAGTATTTTTTGGCCTGAAGTGTTTTAAATTAGTTGACTACTCAGGACATCAAGTTTTCATTATTAAATCATGAAAGGAATTGGTCCCGCAGAAAAGGGAAAAAAGATCATAAGTATGAAGCAAGCGAGAAAGATGAAGTCAATTATTTGCGCATTCTCAAAAACGATTCCATTAATGCGATCACTAAGTGAAATAGCAATCCGGTCAGTTGTAACATATTTTCGCATGTTCCTTCGAATGTATTAAATTGATAAAATTTTCTAGTTTTATTAAAGTTTTCTCTTCCTCTCTACATTTAGACTCATACTATTTAGGACCAAATCTTCTTTCTGTAAGTGACTTGCACATTTAGTACCAGATTGCGAAATAGGAGAAAGATACATGGCGTTGACTTGTCAAAACAATAGACGAGATGCTTAAATTGAAGTAATTTGTTGCAATATAGTCTGTATATTTTGACACATAGCCGCCACCTGTGTTTTTCCTGGTTTGCCATGTGTCATTGCATCGTGCACCTATGGATTTACAGAGATGTAGATTTCGTCAGAGATATTTGCCGTTGGTAGTAGCTTGTTTTGATGATTTCACTGTTAAGCGCTGACATTTGACTTATGCTGTGGGGAAGCGTGACTAACTGGCATATTTTGCGTTGCCCAGTAGTGGCTGCTTGATGCATGCCATAAATTCTCACTGACTTATGATTCCCATCTAATAATCTTCTGCCATTGGTGAATTAACAAGCCCATTCATTGAGATGGACGTCAATTGAATTTATCGACAGTCCAACGCCCATGAATTGGTTCGTTATTTTGCTTAGTTATCATGGGGAAAGCTTTTTTTTTTTTTTTCCTTTTTGTTTTTGGGGTGCGCTACATCTTGGATAATATTAGCTTGAATACTTCACGTCATCACGCATTCTTTGAACCTTACTACTCTGTCAGAGTGCTATCGTGGTAGGCTCATAGTTCATGTATGACACTCTGCTCTAACAATGATCTTATAAAGTGGGGAAGGAGGTTGGTCTAGGCAAAGGCAGAATACACATCTGCGAAATGTCAAACAAGGATGATTAGTTTTGCACGTGCAATGAATATTATTATACTGAGAACAATCTCTATGTGCAATTTTCTATTAAATCAGATGCTTCCATCACTTTCTGTCAGGCCATTTCGTATTCCCGCTATTCTTGTTGGTGATGGACAGCTAGGAGGTATTTCTGGAACAATTTCAGCATATGAAAGCTTGACACTTCGAGGCTATGACGTTGTTGCCATTATTCTTGAAGATCACGGCCTTCTAAATGAGGTTTCGCTGACGTCCTATACAAGAAACAAGTAAGCTTGATTACGCTAGTTACTTATTTTAATTTCCTTTGGTTAGATGGGGCAAAGTTACTCCTTCATACTTTTTAAGGCCAACGCCTGTTCCCCTTTTTAGTCCCTAGTCTCTCTCTCTCTCTCACACCCATGCACCCACGCACATACAGAAATATGCTAAAACTCAGTCCTTTTCCATTTATACCTGCATTTAGGTTTTAGCTTTCCATGTGTTTTTCATCTCCGGCTATTTTACTGTGCACGTATTTCTTTATCATCATTTCCTTCTTTATACAGAGTTCCGGTGCTTTTGCTACCCCCGGTTCCAAAAGATCCATCAGATGACCTTATGGAATGGTTTGAAGGTTCTCATCATTCATTTAGTACTCTGAAGGAAATAATGCTTTCTGCTTATTATGAGAGAATTAAGAAGTTGCACGGCATGCCAAGAAAGGCTGGGAATATCTTCTGGTGGCCTTTCACTCAACACAAACTTGTACCAGAGGGAGGCATAACCGTAATTGATTCACGTTGTGGCGAGAACTTTGCAGTCTTCAAGGTTTGTTTCTAGTAAAATTCATATTAATATCTTCCTCCTTGTTGTATGTTTGTATTCTTCTTCTTCTTCTTTTTCCCCCCCTCTATTTTTACTAAATCTTTGAAATGTAACATGGCCGATCTTAGTAGGCAGCACCAGTTTGAGCATACCGCATTCAGTGTTTACTTTTACATCTGTCGGTCTGGCGAACTTATTTTCTTTTTTTTCATTTTGCTGATACAAATATGCCGAATCATGAGACTGTCATGCTACTTCCCTTTTCAGGGTCAGAACACAGAAGTCATAGAACCTCTATTTGATGCATGTGCTAGTTGGTGGACGCAAGGACCCAGTGCTACCTTGCAGGTCATACTCGTGTGCTCTTTTAATGTTTGGATTCTGGTATTTCAAAGTCGCAATAATCATATTGGCTGTTTAACTAATGTCATATGTTGAAATATAGCATCATGCCTTTTGTCTATCCTAGATATGCTGCCAAATTGTTATCTTTATTTAAAAAAATTTCCAAGGCTTCTTTGTTCATTTTCACCTTTATTCAACTAGCTCTTATGCAACTGCTAGGGAGATGTTGAGAGCCAACACAAAAAAAGCCATTTATGAGAAACTAGTTAGGACCGTGCCTATCTTAAGATTTAGTTGATGTAAATGACAAGCGTTTGGTTATTCCATCTAAAATCTTACAGGTTTTTGACAGGATATTAATTCAGTTACCTGGAAACTTTTAACATCTAGTTTATGTTTGTATGAGTATGCCTATATTGGCCAGAATGTTTATTATTATAGCTTATAAATATGCGATGTACTGTGATAAAAGCAATATGAGTTTCTGAATATGGTGCATTGACAGTTTATGCATGAGAAATAATTTTTTTCCTGATGTTCTAATGTAATTTCCGAATGTTTGTTTGTAAGTTGTATTCTCCTCAATGATTACGTATCTAAATTTTTCCTTAATGTGATCTGTCCATTTAGGTGATTTCAGACTGAGCTTGCAAGGGATATGGGATATACTGCTGCGAGATTTGGGCATGTAATGTTTCCTGAGAATGTTTATGAACCAGCATTAAATTGTGCTGACCTTTTGCTTGAAGGTGCTGGGAAAGGTAAGTGTTCTTTCTTTACCTTTCATTTTTATTATCTATGAATGATATATTAGATATTTCTTGATCTTAAGGCAATCACGACTAGTGCACTTTGTGAATATATTTTTTGGTTTAGTGGTGGTATGAGTGTTACTACACTATGTTGCCCATGTCAATATTATCTGCTGAATGCCCATATTTTATGAATGATTGCAGTTCTGTAGATTCTGACTCTCATATTTTTTTGTATCCATTATATCATTTAAGCTGCATTTTTTTCCAGGTTGGGCTTCTCGAGTATACTTTTCAGACAATGGATCAACAGCAATTGAAATTGCTCTCAAGATGGCATTTCGTAAATTTTCTGTTGATCATGGACTCGTTCCAGATGTTAATGATACCACAAATGAGCGGCCTGTTGAGCTTATGGTGGGCATCTTTAGCCTTTTAATTTAGTCAGCTGTAGCTTTTGTCTTGTGGTATATTTTTGACCTATGAGATTAGTATTCAATAGCAGGAAGATCTATCTAGTTGATGAAGTGAAAGAGCCTCATTTGATTAGTATTATGTGTATTAAACTGTGCAATAGTATACGAAAGTTGGAGGTCAAACCTGTGCCCTCAGATCACAAATATTCATTTCTGATTGAATATTTTTTGATTACTTGTGAAACATTGAGACTTAAGATCATAGATGACAGAGCCAATAAATGTGCAGTTAGAATATTATTTTCCCATCACTTCTTTGATTGGGGTTTTTGTGCAATTAAAGAGTGATTAAAATTTGGCTTGAGACTAATCTAGTACATGTGAGAAAAATGGCTTACTTATAGTGTGATTAAAATTTAGATTATTATGCTAAATGTTAGGTCCTCATACTTAGGTCTTTGTTTTTCAGTGCCCAGATTCGATATGAGCGTCTGCCATCAATGCTATGGATATGTCTATAATGCTGCATTCTAACTCGGATTGAATTAAACTAGGCAGCTGATGTTCGAAATTTAGCAGGTTTAGTGGTTAGAGGTCAAATTGCACATGAAGAATTACTCCTAGTTCACGAACCTTGAATCACTCTTAGTTATCCATGGGAGTAAAATACTATTCCCCCCTTCCCCAGTGGTTATAATTCGAAAAGTTTATGTTAATTGGACTTTTGGGGGCACATTAGGGCCATGGAGATCCTGTGTGTGCGAGCGCGCATATATGAGTTTGGGCAAAATTCATGCGAAGTCAAATGCAAAATGACCCAAAATGATATACAGCATCACTATGATGTGGCGGTTGAAGAAGGAGGATCTTATGATGTGGTGGTTGAGCATAGGATCATCTCTATTCCCTTTCAGTGTCCCTTTATTGTGAACATTATATATGCTGAGTATTCTAATGATCATTAGTATCGTTCTGCTTGGCTTGCTCAGAATGTTGATCATCATCTGGCTATTAATCTCTTTCGTCTCATTCATGTTATTTTTTTCCCCAACCTGCGGAGGGGTTGGGATATAGTTGAAATTGACGTTTTCTTCAAGGAGTCTTCCAGACATTATGACTTTTGGACTTCAAGGTTGAGTAAATCATGCTATCTCTTCATGAGTTGAGTTCACTCTGTATAAAATAATTGTGGACACTGATAAACAATTGATCCGAGTAGTTGTGTGTTTGTTCACTATAATTCTTCAAACAACTGGAATGTATGAGATATCTCTGAAAGCACAATGGCACTGTTTTTAGCCCTATGAAGTAGACATCTAATCAATCATCGGTTGATTATTTCAGGTTCTTGCACTTAAGAGTTCTTATCATGGTGATACATTGGGTGCTATGGAAGCACAAGCAGCATCTTCTTATACAGGCTTCCTGCAACAACCATGGTGTGTGTGTGTGTGTGTGTAGTGTCTTCTCTTTATGCATTAAATTGTCTTCATTAACAGGCTCATGTCATTTTGCACGCTATCAAAGAGACATCAATTAAAAGGGCTGTAGGTTTACTGGCGCATTTTGGTTTTCAAAACCTTTCTATTAACGAAACTCTTTCAAAATTTCTAGGTACACTGGAAGAGGTCTTTTTCTGGACCCTCCTACTGTGTTCATATGCAACAGTACATGGACTCTTTCCTTGCCAGAAGGGTTCAATAGTGGAAGTCTTAAAGATGAACATATCAGTATGTTTGAAATTTCCATTGGTTCAATATTCCTTTCTTTATTGAAGTGTCTCTTTCTTTGTTCTGTTGTTTTTTCCCCCTTTTGGATTGAACTTTGTTCCATTTTTAACACTTTTCAGCCTTTCCTTCACGTGATGAAATCTTTTATGAGGGCCGGGACATGTCAGAACTTGCTCAAGTGTATTCGTCTTACATATCAGAACTATTTTCTAGAAATAGAGGGTTGTGTATTGGAGCATTGATCATGGAACCAGGCAAGATAATTGGTTATGTTCCTTCAGTTTCTGTTGTTGTCATTGATCTTTTGTGGCCCAGTCATTGAATTCTGCTCATATTGCTCGAAAAATTGGGAGTGAAAATGTGATGGCTGTTTTGGAACATGAATCAGTGCTGGAAAAACAAGAGCAGAAGTCGCTGTAGAAAATTTGGATTCGAGTGATTCCAACACTAAAAAAAAATGAGATTCTGAAATTCAAGATCCATACCAAAATCACAGTAATCCTATAGTGGAATATGGCGAAACGATTTGAAATTAACTGGCAACAAATGAACAAAAGTTCACTCCAAGGGTACAGGTTAAGTCACCACCTTAGAGAGATACAGAACTGAATGATGAAGTTTGCATTCACCACTCTGTGGAATCCTCCAAAGAGATACAGAAATGATTCACCCGTTTACACCTCTGTGGAGTCCAAAAAAAAAGTACAGAACAATAAAAAGGAGTGCAAAGGCTCGTCGAATTCTTTGATCAATCAAAGTTCAGGTCTTCTGAACATTACATCTGACAAACTATTGATAGATAACTTGAGACAATCTTCCGAGCATAGAAAATAACAAAGTTAAATGCCAATTTTCATGCAGGACAAGCTGGTGCAACATCCAAACCTATTTCTCTAAGAATTTAATGAAAACATTGATTATTGACTTTCTAGAAGCTAGTTAAAATATATCATAACTTATTCTAGAATATTTAGAATAATGTAAAAATCCAATTCATAAGGAAATAGACATTTAGGCTTTTTGAATGACTACTTATCCGTCAATTTGGGACCTGGATTGTCTGTCAAATTATTGAACTCATAACAGGCTTGATTCTGCTCTTCGGATAGCAAAGTAGTCATTTACCGAACTTTGGCCAAATGGACATCTTTGCTCTGATCAATTTCAAGGGATGCTTTTAGATCACTCCGCTGGTCTAAACTTGATACTATGTCCATAGTATACAACCACCCGTGCAAATGTAAATCTTTCACAGAGAGAAATCATCTCGCTTTCTCCAAGCAGCTTCTTTTGTAAGATGTTCCGGAAAGCCTCTGAATATTCCTACTTTGATTGCATTCATTGACTGTAAGAGGTGGGGTGGGCTGCGAATAACTGTTACAATTTCATGCAAGTTGTGCCTCACTTGATTTATACTTCTAAGAAAGGCTAAACCTCATAGCTTCTGGCAATTCTTCCATGTTTCTTGTTGTGCGTTTTTTAGTCTTGATCTTCTAATGTTAAGCCTGAACTGTTTGTAGTCATACAAGCTGCCGGAGGAATGCACATGGTTGATCCACTTTTTCAGCGTGTACTTGTTAATGAGTGTCGGAAAAGAAAAGTTCCTATCATCTTTGATGAAGTTTTTACTGGTTTCTGGCGTTTGGGAGTAGAGGTGATTGCACTTGCCACTTAGGGACTTTTGTTTTCTTTCTGCAGTTGGAAACTGTATCTCATATTCTCTTTTAAGTAATTGACATTTGATATTTCTTCACAGACTACTGTAGAGCTAATTCATTGCATGCCAGATATTGCTTGCTTTGGGAAGCTGATGACAGGTGGTGTCATACCCTTGGCTGTCACTTTGGCAACTGATACTGTGTTCGATTCATTTGTTGGAGACTCAAAGGTATTGCATTTTTCTGAAAACTATTCTTTGAGGCTGACCAGTTGGGTTGCTTAATCATAATACTCAACAATAAATCCATCGTTTGATTTAATTTGATTCATCATACGTCTAAATCATAAGATGGACACTTCTAGTTGATTTTGAATTTTATTTCCTCAACTTTCCTATGTAAATTACTAAGGAGGGTCAAAATGGGCTTAAGCTTGCATCTCAATTCCAGATATTTTCTAGATTACTTGTTCTTATCCGTGTGTTGAGCAAGAAAATCTCAATGCTCTGGTTTTTCTGGAATGAAGTTTCTTCTCTCCAGATTGTTGTGGTTACTTGAGTCATATCTCTTATCAAGAGGAAGGAGATTTGCTGCCAATATCTTGATAGGTTTTAAGGATTCTTTTTCTTCATGTGATTGAATTATCTTGTGGTATATGGAAAGAAATATGACTTGGGTAATGGCTAGGATCAAATTTTTTAGCCCTACAGCTCTCCTTTTTCTGCCTTAAGAGGAAACTATATATGATGTGTTTTTTTTTTCCTTTACTTGAAAATTTGAAGTTCTCTCATTTTTTGATTAATGTTTTATTGGTGGAACTTCATAGATGTTTTATTTTCCTTTTGGTCCTGTTTGTGTTTTGTCTGTATGCCAAGCAAAGTTCCTGGACGATCCTTTTTTGTCTTATTAATCGATGCATTCTCTTTGTTCTGGTTAGTTGACGGCTCTTTTGCATGGCCATTCTTACTCTGCTCATGCTATGGGGTGCATGGCTGCAGCTAAATCAATCAAGTGGTTTAAAGACCCTTGTTCAAATCCCAATATCACATCTGATGGAAGGTCAATTAGAGAGGTAAGGTTACCGCAGTTTGTTGTGATTTCTTTTATTTTCTTTTCAGCTTCTTAATTAGAGAGGTAAGGTTACTGCGGTTTGTTGTGACTTCTTTTATTTTCTTTTCAGCTTCTTACTTCATAAATGCATTGTTCTGGTCTACATTTCTTTTCACTTATTTTTGTTAAGGGTGTACGAAATTTACTTTTAGCTGTATACAATCTATATATATATATGTTGTGTTTTGTCTCTTGGATAAAACTAGATTAAGAATTGGTTTATTAAATAAGAGTGATGTGACTGAATGGGATGAGAAAACTGTCCCCATGTTTGGTTCTAGAAGAATGGAATTATTATTCTATTCCCTTCTGTTTTAATGTTTGTTCATGGAATTAACAAATTCATAATATAAAACCGTAATTACGACTAATGAAGTTAATTAGGGAAACAAAGAAGCATTAACTCATTCCCCACTCGAAGCAGGGCTTAGAAAGTGATTAGCAAATTCCATATCTTTTCACATCAAACATACAAAACCTTATGCTGGGAAATAAATGCAATAATGGAATTGCCACTCCTTCCTATCTTGCTTTCTTTAACCTTTTTTTCTTCGTTTTTTTTTTTTAAAACTGTGGTATTTGTGAAATTCTAAATTGTTGCTCTAATAGAGTTTTTTGTGTTTGCTGTTTGGAATGTTCATTGATATATTATCCATTGCCTTAAATTTGCAGTTATGGGATGCTAGAATGGTTGATCAGATTTCGTCGCATCCTGCTGTCCGAAGAGTAGTTGCATTAGGAACTCTCTTTGCCTTGGAACTTAAAGCAGAAGGCCAAAATGCTGGGTACCGTTTCACAAACTTGACCCTTTTTTGAAAAAATAAAATAAAATCTGTCAACACTTAATTCTAGGATTTCCCTTGGATAATGTTAACATTTTTTTTGCCAGTTACACCGTCTTTTGTTTTTGCCAGCGTTGGATAATATTAATAAGCAATATACACATATCATTGTAGCAGCCGTTCTATAGTTTGTGGTGCCGTTGCAATTTAAGGGATGGGCAAGTTATTCTTTATATTTTGGTATCTTCTAGTATGTTTACAGTTTTTGCTTGACGGCAACCTCTAGCATGGGGATATTTTTATTTTATATTTTCTCATACCACCATGCATTTACTTACTATATGCAAAGGATCTAGATCCTTATAACAAATGCTATTCATGTAAACATTTTCAATTTATCATCTTGAATACAACTGCATTAAGGGCCGTGGACAGCCAAACATTATGTTTACAACTATAATTAGTGTTCTACCCCCCGGTAATGGTCTGTTGTAGCTGCGGATAATTTATTCCTGATTTATTGTCTTTGCATGGGTAGAACATACAGATACACACCTTGAAGTTTTATCATTTTGCTGCTGTGCCTCGTTGGATCAAAGCTGGAAATCGCTTTCCTTGTGTATTAGGAAGTAGGGAAACTGACCCTAGACCTCTGTCTTCCTTGATTGATGATAAAAATTGAGAGAATTGCCGTGAGGTCCCAAGGAAGAAAGACAGTTATTAAAAAGTCTCAATGACAATGGAGCAATTAAAACCTGTTGTGTGTCCTTAGTTGTTATAGGACTTTTTGTGAATATATTCATTCCTCCTTAGGATTTTGTTGCAATTCTCTCTAAAACTTACTTGACTAACATGATAGGTTAATTACTGTTAGTCCAGTTGCAGCATGTCAAGGAAAAATTAAAAGAACTTTAGAACAACCAAAACCATTAACAAATCACTAAGGATTATAATTGTTATTTTTACTTCCCAAAACATTGTTGAAGTGTTAGTTAGGCTAGAATCTCTGCCCAATAACTAACTGATTATGATCTGTGACATTGTGCTTGCTGTGAGTATGGGGGGAAAAACAAAGAAAACGTAAGGCCAAATGGGGTTCATGTAAAAGAATAAAGTTCAAAGTTGAAAACTTTGTGGTTCATTCTACTCTTCATTCATGAGGTTTGATAGTAACTGCAAGTTTATTTTCTGTTCTGGTCAACGATGCTAATGGTGAAGTTCACAGGTATGGATCATTGTATGCAAGATCCCTTCTTCAGAACCTTCGGGATGATGGCATTTACATGAGGCCTCTGGGCAACGTCATATACCTCATGTGTGGACCCTGCACGTCTCCCCAAACTTGCAATGAGTTACTTGTCAAACTTCACCAGAGACTTGAAGAATTTATTCAAAACACCACAGATCAATATTCTAAGTTGTGAACTTGTTAATTTTGGTTTAGCCAGCCGCAAGTCGGAAGTAGGGCACTTCTGATGCAGGTTAAATGTAGACTCTTGACTTGAAAGTTACAATTTTCTCGAAGCTCAATGTCATGTGTTTGTTGTAACAGTTTTTTAGGCTTAATTAGTACTATATTTGGGTAGTAGCTTAGCTTTTTGTTTTCCCCGTTTCCAGTTGGATCCTTTGTAATATGGATACTTGGCAGAAGCTCTAACGATATCTGTATGACGTCCAACGTGGGCAATTTCAACTGTTAGTGTGCATTTGCCTTCATAGTGGCCCTTCAATATAAAACAAAACTCGTCGTGTTGTAATGTGATGTAAACTTGTCCAAGTTTGATTCAATTTGATTGGATGTACCTGACGGACCAATCATACTCATTAAAGGTACCGGACGGCCGGATGCAATCAGATTTTTTTTTTTAATAAAAAAAGGTCGAACATTATGCTGAGTTTTACTTTTATAATTTTTTTTAAGCTACGAGATTTTTACAGCTGCTTTGATAAGTCTGTCATTCTTTCTTTTTCTTTTTTCCCATTTTTGATATGGGGCTTTGAGCAGTCTTTCAAGACTCAATTTACTTGAACTTACTTATCTGAGCAGCCTATTCAAAAGAAAGAGGATCAGACTGGTCACTCATTAATCAGAAAGCCTCACTTCTTGTCTGTTGATCTTCGTCCAGTACATTCAATGGAACTTGGTCTCGATGCCAACCAGTTCGCTAACCACTCAGAACAGTTTTGCAAGGTCTCAGCTGAACGAACTTCACCACCCGGCTTTGGATCGAAATCCCACTCTGGCTAAATACATCTCATACTTTGACATATTACTTCTGGTGAAGAGGTAAGTAGTTAGAAATTTAATTTGATTCTAAATATTTTCTTAGTAGTACCTAATATTCTAAGTTTGAAAATCGTTCTTGAGAAAAATATTTTAAAGACAAAATTGTACCCAAAAAATCTTTTAGAATAACTGTCGATTAATTTAGGATACTAAATGTTATAAAAAAATACTTCCGAATCACTCCATGTGAAGTAGGAAATACACTGGGGACTAAATCCATACATTTTGAAGATTATTCTTCCCTTTACAAAATATGAAAGATCTTTTTCATTTGCATCTTCCATTCTCAAACGCTTAAGTAACAGCAGATTCTATCTCGCAGTCAATTATTGAGTGAGGAGCATATTCACAAGAATAATTACCTATCATTTGAAGTGGGTAATGATATTCTTAACCAAAAAAAAAGTTGTGGATCTATGTTCGGTATGCAGACAATACATATTTTTTATAACTTACTATTTTCACATGTATTCTCTCTTGTTCTATGGGGTGTTTGGCAATATGAAAACCATGGTTTCAGAAGCACTTTTCCGCAAAACGAGACAAATTTCTCCACATATTTACTTCGTAAACCGTAAAAGCACTTCTGAAACCATGGTTTGGTTTCTATCCAAACACCCTCCATATGTAAGTTTCAAACTTAGAAAGGGATATAATTCATTTTATAAGTTTTAATTTAGTGTTTATCTTGCAAATTTTTCAGTTTTATCATTAATTATTTATTTTTTCTCTTTTGCTATAACCTCTTCTATCACATTTCCCCCACATATTCTTTTTCATAATTTTTCTCATTTATTACAAAGATATATTTGAAAACAAAAACATATTTTTAACATATTTATTATTTTTAATTAATTTTAACTAGTTATTTATTATCTATAAATTAATTATTTAAAATTTATAATAAGAATACGAAAGGAGTACTGTATATGAATGACCACCGTTGATACTTGATGAGCTGACGGGTTAATTAAAATATTAAATGCTGGCTCTCGTGTACCCTTGTGGTTTGCGGCCCTCCTTTTAAACCATAGGGCACGCTTCCGAGCGCTGGCATCCCCACACAAAAAACAAAAAGAGTAATAAAATAAAGGGAAAATTTCAAAAAAAATCTTTGGAATATAAGAAATTTTAGATTGGGTTCTGAAATTTCGAAAATGATAGAAAGGGTCAGTAAGCGTTACTTAGATTTGTTTAGAGAGTAACTACTTATTTTTTTATAGTCAAGTACCTTATTATTAACTACAACTAATCTTGTAATCACTAGAACAGTGTAAGCGTTACTTAGATTTGTTTAGAGAATAACTATTCACTTTTACTTAGTTATAGGTAAAATTGTCAATTCGTCTTAATTTCACGAATAACAGATTGGGTCAATGACCCTTTCTGTTATTTTCGAAATTTCAGAACTTAATCTGAAATTTTTTATATTCCAAGGGCTTTTTCTGAAATTTTTCCAAAAATAAAATATTAAATGAATAAAAGTTAAAGATGACGTCATATCCAAATCATTAGACGACGTCACCAGGTCCTATCATGAGGCTTATCTGGTGTCCACCAGTAACCAACGTACGGCTACGATTGCTCCTTTCGTTTTACTCTTCAACGACTCCGAGATGAGCCGCTTTAAACATCATACAGGGCATTAAATCTAAGGGAAAATATTCCAGTACCATGCTGATGGAGCCCGCTATCATGAACCGGCAAATTTCATCGTCTTAAATTGATCAAAATTTGTGGCTCGATGCATCAACGATTAATTTAGTGAGGCCTACCGCGTTGGCGTGTTCCTTTGAGTGGCTGATTAGTCCTCTCTTCGGCCACGAGTCGCCAGAGAAGACCACAGTAATGCGAACAATGAAGTGCGACGACCACTTTGAGTTCATGTAACTTCGACATTACATTATTTCGAACTTCTCGCTCTGTCACCAAACACTACAAAATTCTCTCTGAGGTATTTCCCCTCTGTTTTCCCGCTTCTATATGAGCTTTCTCTCCCTACCTCTTCTTCCCTTTCCCAGTTATAATCAACTTGATTTAATTTTCTCGTGAGTTCAGTTGTTAAAGCCCCCCGGCCCTCTAAATCTGTGGCTGCAATTTGCTTGTTTGGTTTCCCTCTATCTTGATTGGGCTTCAATTTGTGTGTTGTTTGAGATCTGATGTGAATATAATTTTTTTCTGCTTTGACTGTAGCAGCTAGGGTTTAATAGTCTAGCTGAGAATGCTAACGTTTGTGGTTTCCATGGTTGCAGATCTGTTAATCCGAAGGAAGTGTAAATGCAGCGGAACGCAATTGGTATGGGAAAAAGGACACTGGAGGGTGGGGAAGATGAGCAGCCTGAAAGGAAGAGGCCTGCTCTTGCCAGGTAATAGCTCGATAGATTTCCTGTTTCTCGTCCTATTAGAATCAGTTAGGGTAATGCCAGTGCCACTGTTATTGAACACTCAGCTTGCTCCCGAAGATAATTTTCATGTTATGTCCCTCTTCCTAGTTATATTCCCTCACATGTTCTGGTGGTTGTTTGTAAGAGTAAAGTTAACATGGCTACTTGCACGAGCTACGACCATGGTCTTACAGCATACTGCCGTTGTCCAGTTGTGCATACTCCTCATTAGCAGAGTTTTGAGACGGTGGTATCCTTTATATTTGCTGTAGAAGCTCTTGCGAACATTTCCACTGAACTGGTTTTTATTTTTATCTGGGGTATGCTGACATCACCATGAACAGAAACTCCTGGATTAGAGTGAGACGCTCGCTCACATACCCTTAGGCTTTGCTTAGTTCTTTCTAGAACTCACATGCTTGAAAACTAACTTTGCTTATGCCCCATTGCTCTGTGAACGCTTTTTCCTGGCTTTCTTAGAGTAGGAAGGCTTTTGTTCTAAGAATGTTGTCTTTTATCCTGTAAATACTGAGGCAATTCCCCAAAGGAAGATAAATCTCTGGATCAAGCTCTCTTGTCCTGCTATAGGACACTGGTGCGATTCATTCCCCCACTTTTTCTTAGTTACCCCGGTGACGGGTCCATTTCAATTCCTCTGTATCTCCAAAGGTCGAGTCTCTTGACCTTGAGATAAGGTTTTATTGCTAACCATGTCATTTTAATGATTAATGACCTAGTTACTAAAGTGATATCTAAATTCTGAGTAAGGTTTAAACGTCCCAACTTTGAACCTGACAGCTTTTGTTTTTAACCATAGAGTCAGTTAGTGGAGGAATTAAACTTAGACAAGTGATGAGAACATCCTTGTCCCTATGAAATCTCCTGGTGTGATCCTCATAAAATGCATGAGAATTAGGGATTGTAGCCTTTGATCTGTATAAAGGGAGAAATGGTCACATTTTTGCAACACAAAAGTGGTCATGTACAATTTCTAGACAGAAGGCGGGTTCTCGCATCTAATGCGAAGTCCTAGGGTGGTCACAATGTGTTTATTTTATTTCTCAACCTTCATTATTCAAATTATTTTCTGATTTTCTCCTATTAGTTTCCCTTCACTGATAGGCATTTATTTTTTAGCGTAATTGTAGAAGCTCTCAAAGTGGACAGTTTGCAGAAGCTTTGCTCATCATTGGAACCTATCCTTCGTCGAGTTGTAAGTTTTCTGGCTTCTAGGTTATGTTGTGGTTTCTTTTTTGACTTGAATATTGGGAGTGTTATGTGCTTTCTGCCCCAACTCTGTGTTGTTCTTGCTATTGTCAGCCTTTTGAAGTTTTTGCCCATGTTACATGATAGACTTAAATTACATGCTGATTTGCTTTCTTAACTTGGCAAGAGATGATCTAATGTCAAATTATTTTGCGCATCCAATTTTTTGGGTTATATTGTGGTTTCTTTCTTTTTTGACTTGATTATTGGACCATTTATGTGCTATCTGCTCCAACTCTATGTTATTCTTGCTATTGTTGGCCTTTTGAAGTTTTTGCCTCTCTTACTTGATAGACTTAAATTACAAGCTGATTTGCTTTCTTAACTTAGGAAAAGCTGATCTAATGTCAAATTATTTTGCACGTCCAACTTTTTACTTCCAGTTATCCACTTAACTCCATTCCATTTTTTCCTTACTCGTCTGTAGGTCTTCTGTGGCTTTGTGTGTAAGACTTTATTTATTTTTCATGTGATTAGGGAAATCAATAAAACTATTTGCATGCAAGAGCTTACACTGTATGTTAATACGTGATTTATCTTATGTCATTACAGTTTATTCATTTGGTACCTGACTTTCAGTGGAACTAATGTGATACAGGTTAGTGAGGAAGTGGAACGTGCGTTGGCGAAGTTAGGTCCTGCAAGACTGAGTGGAAGGTCTAAGAAATTTTACAATTTGAGGCAATTAATTCCTAGTTTTCCTATTGGCTTTTAGAAATCTCCCTTATAATGCATCTATATGTTTTTCATTCATATTTCCATATTTGTATCTGTAAACAGGGGAGAAATGGTTTTTGGTACTGTGGACTGGTTAATGATAAAGTCAGGGTGCTTTATATTTTGAGTTCATTTTCTCCTGTAGAATTTGGCATAAGTTAAGTGGTCTTTTTTAACAGTCTATGACTTATGCTGGGTTCTTAGGGTGTGTTTGGATGGATGGCAAAGGGTAGAATGACAACGGTCTAATAAGAACTAAGCTATTGCTTCGTTGTTGGCATGTAATGGAATGGCAAAGGAGGGGCTCCAAGATGACTCCTTGCCATTCAAAACCCTTTTTTTTGGGGGGTGGGGGTTGGTTGGGATGAAATGAAACAGACAGGTGATAAAATTACAATTATAACCTATTTAGCTAAAAACTGGCTATAGTCATATTCTAACTATGAGATTAATATTGGAAAATGATTTATAAGTCATTCTATTCCATTTATGAGTCTCTTCTCTCATTAACTCCTGGATATAGCCTTGGTGTGGGGGGGGGGGGAATCCTCTTCTAAAATTTGACCGGTGTATCTACATAAATATGCAATAATGTGGTTTAGATTGTCTGCATATTCATACTGCCAAAAATTTGTTCTGCTAGTTGATTGTACAAGATATTGAGGAAAATTTGTACAGAAATCATTTTGTGAGGTGTGTTTAATCCCCTGCAGTCCCTTAGGGTAGATAGGTAAACCAAGTTTGGCTATATTTTATTTGATCGGTCTTCATTTAAATGGCTTGTTGACTCAGTCTTTGAGGACTTGGTGGTTCTTCCTTTCAAGTTTCTTTCACAATTGTTTCATATTATATCTAAACTTTTGCAATGTCTATTTGTGAATCTCTGGTGAGGATGGTATATTCTTAAACTTGGAAATATTTCAGGTCCCCACCAAAAATGATTGAAGGTCCAGATGGAAGAAACTTGCGGCTCCATTTTAGATCCCGGCTATCTCTTCCTCTTTTCACTGGAGGAAAAGTGGAAGGCGAGCAGGGTGCAGCAATTCATGTTGTTCTGATTGATGCTAACACTGGAAATGTTGTAACATCTGGATCTGAAGCTTGTACAAAACTTGATGTTGTCGTCCTTGAAGGTGATTTTAATAATGAAGATGATGAAGACTGGACGCAAGAAGAATTTGAAAGCCATGTGGTGAAAGAGCGTGAAGGTAAGAGACCTTTGTTGACTGGGGACCTTCAGGTGACACTCAAGGAAGGTGTTGGAACAGTGGGTGAGCTGACATTTACTGATAATTCAAGTTGGATAAGGAGCCGCAAATTTAGGCTTGGCTTGAAGGTTGCCCCAGGTTTTTGTGAATCCATTCGCATCCGTGAAGCTAAGACAGAGGCTTTCACTGTCAAAGATCACAGAGGAGAATGTGGGTTATGCCTTTACACCTTCTAGTTTTTTCTTGCTGATCACGCTTTCCCTGCTTATATATGCTGTAGTACAAGCTTTTCATGTTTACATTTGGTCCTGTTTACAGTGTATAAGAAGCATTATCCACCTGAACTGAACGATGAAGTATGGAGGTTGGAGAAGATTGGAAAAGATGGATCATTTCACAAGAAACTTAATAGTAATGGAATATTCACAGTTCAAGACTTTCTTCGACTTGTAGTCAAAGACCAACAGAAATTACGGAATGTAAGTTTAGGATTTGCTTCTAAATCAAAATTATTTCTTTGCTGTCATTTTCTCATATACTTCAACTGTAGATCCTTGGAAGTGGCATGTCAAACAAAATGTGGGATGCTCTCTTAGAACATGCAAAGACATGTATTTTAAGCGGGAAGCTCTATGTTTATTATCCAGAAGATACAAGAAATGTTGGTGTTGTTTTTAACAACATCTATGAGCTGCGTGGCCTTATTTCTGGAGAACAATTTTATTCTGCTGATTCTCTTTCTGATAGCCAGAAGGTTAGTCAACTTTATGCATTTCTTTCTCTGACTTTATCAGATATTTTTGTTCGCTTCTCAAACGATGAGTTCTCTATGATAGTCTGTCCTCTTCCTTCAATTGGATGAATCACTTATGTTGGCATTTTGCAACAATTTATGTCCTCATGTTTTACCCTCTCTCGCCAACAAGAATGATATCTACTTAACTAAACAAGCACATCTTGCATTGCTGACTTAAAAATAACTAGTTTGCGTAGGATTGCAGTAGATAAAGACTTGACATGTTTCAAAGGTTGCAGACTACTATTAAAGCTTTCTGAGTGGTCTCTTTAGAGAAGAGTAAGTTGTATGCCTTTAAAATGCTTTTGCAAGTGCAGGTTTATGTAGATTGCTTAGTAAAGAAGGCATATGAGAGCTGGGATCAAGTTGTAGAGTATGATGGCAAATCATTCTTACCTAGCAATGATTTAGATCATCAACAGCCACAGTCTGCCCTCCCCGTTACAGTGCCTTCTGAGCAGCAATTTAATTCAGGACTGCCTGTTGGAGGTAAGCGTTGGTGCCCTGCAAAATCATGTCTGATGGACCATAAACACCCTCCTTTTCTTTTTTCTTTTTGGTGATGGATGTAGTCATTTGGGTTCTGTACCATTGCCACTATACTTGTTTTTCTTGTCAATTTTTCAACCCTAGGCCCCCACATATTTGCCCAAGAGCAAATATACATGTACAGTAACAACCTTTTTTTGTCCTGGACAGATTTGTTTGTATCTTAAGTATTGTGAAACACTAACCACCCCCCCCCCCTGCTGTATTGGCCAGCTGATTTTAAGCCCTCTTTACGTCACCTTTTTCAGGTTATAATGATGGTCTGGCTATCACATACCCAAGTCAGCCCCTGATTTCAAACTCCAACTCTCGGAACCAGTTTGACAGCAGTTCATTTGTATCTCAGGATCAATTACTCAGCAATGCCCATCAAGCACACAACTCCCGAAACGATCATGGTCCAGTTGGCTTGGCCCTTGGTCCTCCTCAGCCATCAACATCAGGGTTCCATGCTGGAACCTCTTCAATTCAGCCTTCAACTTTGAATCCTTTCGAGGAGTGGTCTAATAACAGGGACAGAGGGGTCGATGAATTCCTTTCAGAGGAAGAAATTCGGATGAGAAGCCATGAGATGCTGGAAAATGAAGATATGCAGCACCTGCTTCGCCTCTTCAGCATGGGGGGTCATGCCCCCTTAAATATCCAAGAAGACGGCTATGCATTCCCGCCATACGTGGCATCACCCATGCCAAACTTTGATGAGGATCGTGCTCGTCCTGGCAAAGCTGTTGTGGGATGGCTGAAGATCAAGGCAGCAATGAGGTGGGGCTTCTTTATTCGGAAGAAAGCAGCTGAGAGGCGGGCACAGATAGTGGAGTTGGATGATGAATAGGTTGTTTCAACGATGATCCTAGACTCTCACAAGTAGCCTTGATATCTCACTGACATTGCAAATTGTAGGTCCTCTTTCCAGTGCCAACAAAATTGTGCAGTCCGAGTCTTCGCGACGCACAGGTCTTGATATCTGATTAGGCAGAAGATCTTTTTGTACAGTTTGCTGTACAGTATGTTGATGTTTACGAAAACCCTTGATTGTTTTTTACTGTCTTGTCTTTGAGCTTGGGTTCCCTCCAGGTACGGACCATCCTGGGTAGACCGCATCCACGGAAGTTACCCTATCTTGTGTTGTTTCTCGTGATGGTCCATGCCCATGACCGTGAGAGAATTCAACTTCTTTATCTTTCTATTGAGCGTTGGGTTTCAAGGAATCTGTATTTATTGTGCGAACATATTCTAATGTTTGAGGGGGTAAATTGAATCGGACGTCCCACATTTATTAATGTATAGGAATTATAAGCTACTTTATTTCATCTGGTGACTGCCCCATTATTTGCTTGTCTTTCAAGTTCATGAATACATGGACTTGCTAAGTATGACTTCCTTATCTGGAATGTGAAATTTTAACAACATAAATGGTCATACAAAACGATTGATTCAAGAAAATTAAGAAAAATAAATAAATTACTTTAAATATTTATATTCATAATTTTTTAAAACTAATTTGCTTAAATCGATGCATAATTTAATGGGACACAAACCTATTTAAAAAAGATCATGTAACATGATATAATTAAGTCATTTTTTAGGTTTTTTAATCCTCTCAAATTAATTAATTAGATTCTGTATTAAAGATTGAAGCCTGTATAAACCTTTTTGTGGCGGGCAACTAGTAGTATAACTTTGATCTAATATTACCAATCCTAGTTAATCGAGTGAGGGGGGTTGGGTCAGCATAAATTTCTTTGTGGGGGAAACTCGTAGTATGACTTGTGATGTAATATTACAAATCTTGGTCAACCAAGTGAGAGGGATTTGATACTCTAGTCCTTTCCTGGATGATCCTCAAATGTAAATTGATAATATCATATATGGTTATATTATAAGGACACACATTGCTATATTCTTAATTTCTTATCAAATACTCCTCCGGTTTTTAATATAAGACCCATTTAATTGATTTGATTAGATTAAGGAAGTTAGGTAAATTAGTTAATTATAAGAAAAGTGACACATTTTTCCTAAAACACCATAATCATCTTTCTTAATACTCACTCTCCCTCTTCTACTTGATTATGGTTGAGAAAGTATCCATAAGGGTAATTTAGAGAAAATTGATAAATATGAGAAATTGGTTTTATATTTAGGACCAAAACCAACTCAAGAATTGGGTCCTATATTAAGGATCATAGGAGTATAAGAAAGCACCGAAAACCAGAGCTAAGCAGTGACGACTTTAAGATTATGGAAGTTCGTGGGTGACGCAGTGGGCGTCACACAAAAAGTATGAAAGCTGATAAAGCCGAAGGCCATAGAAGAGTGCATATGACATGGGATTTGGAAGAACTTGGCCATTGCTTTCTACTTTCAGGAATTAAAAGGTCTACCTTCACGTCATTACCATAGTCTTCTACTACCTCCATTTTTGGCTGCTTGTGTACCAAAACTTTCTGTTATACTTGAGATCGTGGCACTGGTTGGATGCGGATACTCCTCAATTATTGAGCGACAAGCTTTTGTATCCAAATGAAGATTAAATGGAAGAACTTTTTTCTTTGATGGGATGATATTTATTATTTACTTTTGTAATTATTATTTTACACTTTTTACATTTATAATTTCTTATGATTATAGGGGTGATGTTATTCCTCCATGCTCACAATCTTTTTAATTTAATTACCCATTCATTTCATTATATCCTGGCATACAAAACGAAGTTGAATCCACCAAAAAAAAAAAGCTCTAGAAAAGTCTAGATCCTCAAAACATAACGAATTAATGTTAGAATCCATATTAGGAGAAGTATATATATTTAATGCCTAACAGTATCTCAAATAAAATTACTTCTAATAGAAAGATATGTGTGCTTAGTAAAAAAAAGTAACACCCATGATTTCAACCCAAAAAAAAAAAACATGAATGAGTACATAACAAATATTATCATATAGGAAGTAGAGTCCAGTTTTTTTTCTTCTTTCCTTTTTTTTTTTTTCTTTTTCAAGTGGGAGGCTTAAGGTGGCTATAAATTTAGAAGGGTGTTCAGGGAATGGAACTGGGTCATGGGACTTTCCCCCCCCCCCCAAAACCTCCTTCCATCTCTTTCTCATGAAGAAAACGAGAGATTGACACGCGTAGTCATCAAAGGAGCTCCCTTTTTATTACTCCAAACATTCTTCTTCCAAGGCATACGAGAGGCAACAAATAAAGAAGAAGCCATGAAGACAACTTGGACGTGTTGCCACAGAGATGGTAATGAGGTTCTGTCACTTTGTCATTCTTCTATCTATGCCCTCTGTAGTTACCATCGGCAATTTCTTTTTTTGCCCCAAGAATTGCAGGAAGAGAAACTAGTTGCTCACAAAACTTTTCACTTATTTATTGTGTTTGGTCACAAGGAATATTGTGGTTTGATTAACCTGTTTGATTATGTGTTTTCACATTTTCCTATGCAAAGTTTTCTGCGAAGCAACAAAAAGCTGCTATTGATAATGGATTTGAACTCATAACTTCAATTCTTACAAACTAAACCAAACTTTAATTATTAGACGCAATTCAATCTTTTGCTATTATCATTCCAAAAAGCTCAAAATAAGTATAACTCCTTATAAGCTTGTTATCTATATGTATATTAATATTGATAAGCCCTATATAGTCCAAGGAATTAAAGGATGATCCTGATTTTGAGTTAGTTTTATTCCAATAAAAAATTAATTGTATAAATAAAGTCTTTAGTCCTATAGTTTGTATTAATTCTAACTTTGATTTATCAATTACTTTATGAGCCATCCAATTTTGGGGATAGAAATATCAACATCAATCGCAAATCTAATTCAAAGATTACCAAGATTGATAGATAAAAAAAAATTTGATCGTCTGTAATGCTATTAGAAGTCTTGTCAAGACTATCGACTAGTACTTTCTTTGTCCATTATCTGGAATGCTATTTGCCGCCTTTCTTCGATTTATTAGTGTATGATCTTATGAAATTGAGAAACAAAGAATCACAGACAAAACCGTTGAAGTAACTGAGAGAACAATCTATTTTATTAAGAAAACGAATGTTGTCATCTGTTACATCATAAAAATTGGCCGTACAAGTCGCCAAAGTGATGAAAAGAAAGATGAAAAAAGAATGAAAGAATTCGAACCCAAATTCCTATATGAACAAACCAATACTGGAATGACCGCCGGAAATAATAAATTAAATTCTGAGATTGCTCTGTTTTCTTCTAAGAGGTTCTGCATTCTGGAGGAAGGCCCTGGGGAAACCTCTTAGCGTCAGTGCAGTAATTGTAAATCATGTAGTTTTTCTGAACCCATCTCAGCCTCCCTTGTGAAGTTGTGTCAAGCTCTTGTGAGAACCACGGAGAATTGGTGGAGGATGAAGTTGAAGATGAAGCACAGGAAGATTTGCCAGAAGACCAGACGCAAGCATCGGCTTTGAAGTTTCTGTAGGAAGCAGTGAAGGGAGCCTGAGACCAATCCGTCTTCACGAGGCCGCCTCTTGTTGCCCAGTCATCTGCATTCCACAAGCTCGAGTATATCCTCATTGGCTGGTTCTTTGGGAATGGCACACCAACGGACTCTGAGTTCTTGAACTCTCTGATGGGAGTTCCATCCACTGAGAATCTGAATTAGATTTAAACAGAATCATATATCAGACTATGCATAAGAAAGAGGACAGACGTGAAATACAGGGAAATAGTTGAGTGGAGAATAAAGACTTACATGATCCTTTGGGGGTTCCAGAGGATGGAGTAAGTGTGGAAATCTGCGGTTGGGTCAAACCAGAGATAGAACTGTTGCTCTCTGTTTCCTTTTCCCTGGCTGAACACGTTGGTGTGAAGAATGTAAGGATCCCCGCTCAGGTTTCCCAGAAATTCAAAGTCTATCTCATCCCAGTTTGATCCTTTTGAAGATAACTGCAGGTACAGATTCCTATTAGCGACAATGGGTACTAATCCCTTCAAGGGATATTCTGCAATACCAATAATAGGCACACAAAAAGAAAAATAAAAAAGCTTACATAATATGCAGTAACGGTGCCAGCAGAGTTTCCAGGGACGAGCTTGAGCTGCATGTCGATCTTGCCAAAGAGATACTCATTCTTGGATTGGAATCCTGAGCCTGATGCCTTGTCGAGTGAGAGGGTGAGAAGCTCGCCATTGTTGAGCATCTTGCCTCGACCGTCCCCCCATGTTATGTCAAACTCATTGTTCAAATTACCAGCAACGGTAACAACCATGAGGGAGCTGACAAGAAGCATTACTGATACACTTCTGAAAGAAGTCGTAGAAGAAGCCATGTTGTGAGAGAAATTATGGAATGATTTTTCCTAATTGCTAGTGAAGTTGGAAGCATGAAGATCAGAATGAACTTGGGGTGGCTATTTATAGCGGCGAATAGGGTGAGGAAATGAGGCCGAAGATGCAGTGAGCTAGCTAGCCGTGCTGTATTATTGTGCAGCTGTTTATGTTCCTCAAAAAGAGAACTTGTGAGTAACAAATTAGCTGTCCAGATCGCACTTGATTTTGGTCCTATTCAATTCAATACCAAATTTTTAACGCGGGGTTGGTCAAACTTAAATTAAAAGCTTAGACCTTTCATGCTCAAATGATCAGTGGGCCCCACTGCCAGCAAAGAAAGGAACTCTTGCAGCTATATATTTTATTCCAAAACTCGGAGAGCCTCCACCGCCATGGATGGGGCCTGCGTGAGACGGACATTGGGACGAAACATCCTTGTCCTTATCTTTATTCCTAACACGCGCACGTGCTTACGCGCTTCGAAACACGCGCAAGCAATTCCAACATCCCCGATTGAAACAAGTAATTTAACGGAGTGTTCGCGCATTGATGCGCTGGCGTTCGCTGCGATATTTAGTGAGAAATTTAGTTCCGCTTGAAGTATTAAAAAAGATGAATAAAAATTGAAATTGGGATTAAAAGAAATCTATTCAAAAAGTATTTAGTATAAAAAATTACTTATTATATGATATTAGACAAATCTATATATATGGGATTGGGGAATACGATGGAGAGATGATATTTCCTAATCCTACTTTCATAGATTTGTTTAATCCCATATAATAAATAATTATTTATATTAAATAATTTTTAATGATTTTTCTTAATGACATTTCCTGTCTCTATTCCTCGTTTTCAATGGTTTTGTATCAAACGGGACCTTACCCTATAGCTTTGTAATTTTCATTTGGATACATATGATTAGGCCAAATCAATGTGGCAATTTACGTTTCTAATGTTAATTAACCTGTAATGTTAATTAATCTGTAAGTCTTTATAATTTCAATCAATTTTGAATCAGATCCCTATAATTTTTTTTCTTTTTATTAGGTCCTTATACTTTCACCTGTTTTGAATTAGGTCCTTGCATTTATTTTTCTTTTTATCAAGTCCTTATAATTTTACTAAATTTTTAATCAAGTCCATGTAGTTTTAATTTTTATTTATTAATTAAATATAAAATTAATTAAATAGATTAATACTAAAATATAAAATATTAGTAATGAAATTAAATTAATAATTATTTAACAAAATAAGTAATATAATTAATTAATTCAGGAAATTTTTTTAGAACAATTAATATTCTTTTGCTGGAAAAAATAAAATTATTATAATAATTCATGGAAAAATTAGTAAAAAAATCCCTGTTTAAAATTTGAACTGACCAGAAGGACCTAATTTGTGCAAGTGCAAGTATAATCCGTGAGTGCAACAAATCAAGTCCTTCTGGCCAATTAAAATTTCAAACATGGATTTTTTTTTACCAATTTTCCCATAATTCATTGTTTTTATAATATTATTGTTTATAAAATAATAGTAAATAATATATACTATTTTATGTTTATAGAATAGTACTATTAAAAGTTATAAAATAAAGAATAAAAAATTCAGGGACTTAATATAAGGTGAACTTATAGGACTTGATAAAAAGAAAAATAAATACAAGGACCGAATTAAAAACAAGTGAAAGTATAAGGACCTGATAAAAAAGAAAAAAACTATAAGAACTTGATTCAAAATTGATTGAAATTATAAGGACTTGCGGATTAATTAACCCAAAATATTAATAAGATTGTGTTTACAGATTGTATTAAAAAAGCATATCTGTCTCTCTTTTTTTTTTTGGCGGCCCCTGAGCTTGTCTGAATTTTTCTCGCTAGTTGAGGATTGCTGGCTATTTGTACCATAATCTCGTTAAAATCTAGACTGTGCTTTACTTTGGTTCATATTTAATTTCCGTCGTTGTTGCAACAAAATAACCTGAAGAAATTGATTGAAAATGTAATATAGAGAAGACCATCATTTCATTACAAATTGAATATACTATCCAACATAAAGATTAAAGAATAACCATATAAATCATCATCCAATCATAGTGATGACTAAAATGGAAAAGAATAAAAGAATTGAAGTAAAAAATTTTTAAACCAGCAGACTAAACTGAAAATAATAAATTGAATGGTTGGGTTGCTGCTTTGTTTTGTCTTAGGAAGTTCTGCATTCTGGGGGAAGGCCCTGAGGAAACCTCTTGGTATCTGTGCAGTAATTGTAAATCATGTAGTTTTTCTGAACCCATCTCAGCCTCCCTTGTGAAGTTGTGTCAAGCTCTTGTGAGAACCACGGAGAATTGGTGGAGGATGAAGTTGAAGATGAAGCACAGGAAGATTTGCCAGAAGACCAGACGCAAGCATCGGCTTTGAAGTTTCTGTAGGAAGCTGTGAAGGGAGCCTGAGACCAATCAGTCTTAACGAGGCCGCCTCTTGTTGCCCAGTCATCTGCATTCCACAAGCTTGAGTATATCCTCATTGGCTGGTTCTTGGGGAATGGCACACCAACGGACTCTGAGTTCTTGAACTCTCTGATGGGAGTTCCATCCACGGAGAATCTGAATCAAAATAGAGAAGGACATATCAGTCAATGCTGGATTAAAAGGACTGGAGAGAAATGCAGGGAAATAGTTGAATGGAGAATAAGAACTTACATGATCCTTTGGGGGTTCCAGAGAATAGAGTAAGTGTGGAAATCCGCGGTTGGGTCAAACCAGAGATAGAATTGCTGCTCTCTGTTTCCTTTTCCCTGGCCGAACACGTTGGTGTGAAGAATGTAAGGATCACCACTCAGGTTTCCCAGAAATTCAAAGTCTATCTCATCCCAATTTGATCCCTTTGAAGATAACTGCAAGTACCCACAAAGACACACGTTTAGTTTTAGTCATAACGAGTCATCTCTTGAGAAGTCATATATTCTGCCATTATGAGAAAGAAAACTTACATAATAGGCAGTGACGGTGCCAGCGGAGTTTCCAGGGACGAGCTTGAGCTGCATGTCTATCTTACCAAAGAGATACTCATTCTTGGATTGGAAGCCGGAGCCTGAGGCCTTGTCAAGGGAGAGGGTGAGAAGTTCACCGTTGTTGACCATCTTGCCTCGACCATCCCCCCACGTTATGTCAAACTCATTGTTCAAATTACCAGCAGCGGTAACAACCATGAGAGAGCCGAGAAGAAGCATTAGTGATACAGTTGCAGAAGAAGCCATATTGTAAGAGACGAGAGTGATGTTTGCTAATTGCCTGTAAATTCTAAAGGATGAGAATGACTATGAAATTGGTCGAGGTTGGTATTTATAAGAAGTTGGGAAAGCGAGGTGAAAGGAAGGAAAGTGACCCGAAGTTGCAGGGAGCTAGCTGTAACGGAGAATCCAGTTGTTAATGTTCCTCAAAAAAGAGAACTCATGAGTGGTAGATTAGCTGTCCAAATCGCACTCGGTTCTGATGGAAGGTATTCAGTACCAGATATTTTGACGAGCATTGTATTAAATTTTGGTGACAAATTGAGATCTTTTTAGATTAGTTGTAATTGGTGAAGCCGCCAAGCCTACCCTTTGACTAATCAATTCCCAGGGAAGCCCCACAAGTCCAACACGCATCTTTCTGGAGCTATTAAATTTTATTCCGCCGTGGCCTCCTCTTGAGAGGCATGAGGATGAAACATCCTTGTCTTTTTCTTTCTTTCTTTCGGAAGAAACATCCTTCTGCTGCCGTCACGCAAAAATAAAAATAAAAATTAAATACTACCTCTGCTCTTTAACATAAAAACTAACTGAATTAAATATATGCTGTCTTCTTTTTCTAAAATACCTTTTACCAATTATATATGCCAACTATAACTACTATTTGATAAAAAATTTTAATATGCATAATTACTACAAAAACTATTTTTTAAAAAAAATAAATAAAAAGAGACAAAGTGAATTAGAATTTTATTTAAAATTAAATTAAAAATCAAATAAATTTTTATATTAAAAACCCGAATATTATATATTTCACGCTCACGTGCCCATGTGCTCCCTCCCAAGCACGTAATCAAGTTTTACTGTTTGTGGAGTTTATACTTGAGTTGAATATTCCAACCCGTGTTCACCAAGATCATCAACCATTAAGAGATCACAACGTTAAAGTCAAAAGCTCTCACCAAAGCTGAACTCCACGATTCTTCTCATATATATTCTACCGACTATAATATAATATATTATTTAAAAGATCAAAATTTTCACTTAATATCCTAATTAACTATAAAACTTTAATTATAGCTTATTAACAGAACTTTTCTAATTTCATGTTAAAAGTTTACAATAAATAACTAAATTTAATTCATTTCTTTAAGTTATAGTATAAAATAGGAGAAGGAAGATACACTTAGCTTGTGTTTGAAGCCATAGACCAGACTAAATAGTTTAATAATTTGAAACCGACCAGAATTCAAACGAGGAAAGCTGGAAGCTTCTGTTTCTCATTGTCATATAAAGTCGGCGGCAAAATTGATTCAATGAACGTAATGGGAAAAAAAAAAAGCCAATTACAAATTTTGTTAGTGAGAATAATTTAGATCAGAATATTAGAATCTTGTATGTACCAAATTCATAAATTCATAAATGATTAATTTTGTGATAATTAATATGGTAGGAAAAATGTTGGGAATTCCATAGGAAATATGGTGGGAAAAATAATCATGGAAAAAGCAGCCATCACTTGCTCTGTGATGAGTTCCTATATTTTATACTATTTCTGATTGTTCAGTACAAACTAGATCTTATATTTAAAATCTATTATTCTTTGCAAATTAAAATGGAAAGTCCTAGGTGAGAGTTAAATGAAAAAAAAAAATCCCTAAAAGAGAGAGGGGTTCGAGTTCGTTATTTAAGTATCTATGAATACTAAGGCCAAAAAAAAGTGTCTAGTAGTAAATCGTTTTGTATTGAAAATGAAAGGTTTTGGCAAGATTATAGTTAACACCTTCTGATTTTGTTTTGTTCTTGGATCATTTTTTTTGGTTGCCATTAGACACATCTTTTGCTAGTTCTTAGCTCTAGGGTTACCATACCTTCCATTGTGGATAATTGTGCGATAAATACTCACTATTGCTTTAATTAATATGATGATGTTCGTTTTACAGGATTGCTTCATATCCGTAACTACTATAATCTTCAAAAATAATTGTTTCTCCTTTCTATTGTTACATGGGTCATTATATCGTTAGAATAACCTGAACAAATTGAAAGCAAATATAATAGAGAATGGCATCATTTTATTACGAAACTGATATATTTTACATAATAAAGAATAGCCATTTATGTCACCATTCGATTACAATGATGACTGCAATGGAAATGAATGAAAGAATTGAACCCAGAATTTTCACATCCGCAAACAATACATTACTGCAATCGTCACTGAAAATAATAAATTGAACGGTTGGGTTGCTGCTGTGTTTTGTCTTAGGAGGTTCTGCATTCTGGAGGAAGGCCCTGAGGAAACCTCTTGGAATCTGTGCAGTAATTGTAAATCATGTAGTTTTTCTGAACCCATCTCAGCCTCCCTTGTGAAGTTGTGTCAAGCTCTTGTGAGAACCACGGAGAATTGGTGGACGATGAAGTTGGAGATGAAGCACAGGAAGATTTGCCAGAAGACCAGACGCAAGCATCGGCTTTGAAGTTTCTGTAGGAAGCAGTGAAGGGAGCCTGAGACCAATCCGTCTTCACGAGGCCGCCTCTTGTTGCCCAGTCATCTGCATTCCACAGGCTTGAGTATATCCTCATTGGCTGGTTCTTGGGGAATGGCACACCAACGGACTCTGAGTTCTTGAACTCTCTGATGGGAGTTCCATCCACGGAGAATCTGAATCAAAATAGAGAAGGACATATCAGTCAATGCTGGATTAAAAGGACTGGAGAGAAATACAGGGAAATAGTTGAATGGAGAAGAACAACTTACATGATCCTTTGGGGGTTCCACAGGATGGAGTAAGTGTGGAAATCTGCGGTTGGGTCAAACCAGAGATAGAACTGTTGCTCTCTGTTTCCTTTTCCCTGGCTGAACACGTTGGTGTGAAGAATGTAAGGATCGCCACTCAGGTTTCCCAGAAATTCAAAGTCTATCTCATCCCAGTTTGATCCTTTTGAAGATAACTGCAAGTACAGATTTATATTAGCAACAACGGGTAGTAATCCCTTCAAGGGATATTCTGCAATACCAATAATAGGCACAAAAAAAGAAAAATAAAAAAGCTTACATAATAGGCAGTAACGGTGCCAGCAGAGTTTCCAGGGACGAGCTTGAGCTGCATGTCGATCTTACCGAAGAGATACTCATTCTTCGATTGAAAACCTGAGCCTGATGCCTTGTCGAGTGAGAGAGTGAGAAGTTCACCATTGTTGACCATCTTCCCTCGACCGTCCCCCCATGTTATGTCAAACTCATTGTTCAAATTACCAGCGAAGGTAACAACCATGAGAGAGCTAAGAAGAAAAATTACTGATACAGTCGCAGAAGAAGCCATGCTGTAAGAGATGGGCTGTGATGTTTGCTAATTGCTTAAAGCCTGAAGGACTTGGATGGCTCTGAAACGGGTCGAGGTTGGTATTTATAAGAAGCAGGAGTAGCAAATAGAAAGGAAAGAAAGTGACTCGAAGTTGCAGGAGCTAGCTGTAATATAGTATGATGAAGAGACGCGTTCCTCAAAAGGCCAACCCATGAATGAAAACTTAGCTGTCCAGATCGCACTCGTGTCCGGAATATATTCTGAGGCAAATGTTTGACCTGATGATGGATATTAAATTCTTGAGACAAGTTGAGATGTTCCATATAATTAATCAAATTCATTGGGTACCGCTGCCAGCTGCCAGCCCAACACGCAAGTTTTGCAGCTATGAAGTCATAAATTTGATTCCTGAGCTCTCCATGGCCCACTGGAGAGACATGGGGACGAAACATCCGTGTCCTTTATTATTATTATTGGATTTGTTGCGAGAGAAACATCCTTGTGCTTTTGCCTTTTGCTACGCAAAGGTGAATTTGAACATTACTCGTATAGTTCAGCACTCACGTGCCCATACATTACACTGCACACTTTGTCATATTACCCTAAGACGAGCTTCATTGTGTATTCCACCATGAAAATCGTCAACCTTTGCAAATTCCTGTCCGCTTTTGTTTATGTTATCTGATTTGATTGATTGTTCAATTTTTGAAAGTCGATTGGTTACTTGCGAGTATTTGTCAAATTTGTTCGGATAAATAGAACAGGACTCTTTTGTGGATAATTACAAGCAGCGCCTATTTGTCACGGTCATATAAAGTAGTCGGCTGTAAATTTTGTGGTATAAACATTTTTGAAGTAGCTGTGAATTCCCAGAACTTGCCTTTTACAGCTATATAAAAATAAAAAGTGTTTGGGTAATCTCAGAAACACTTTTTAGAAATATTTTTTTATAAATCGAGATAAACTCTTTTACATATTTATTTCGTATACCATAAAAATATTTTTAAAACTATGATTTTGTTCTTATCCAAATACTCTCACAGTAGTATATTGGTAGCCGAAGACCTCCATCCTTTTATTCTCCCAATGGGAACCAAACATCTCCCGTTTTATTATGTTATTGTTAATAAATTATACATTTCTCTTCATGTAAGGGCCACAAGAATTACGCCGCCTTCGATTTTTTTAATAAGCATTGAATTATCCAAGTCTATCATAAAAAGTTATTCATTTCTTTAAATTTAAAACATATAATTTATTTAAGATAATAATTATGGTTTTTATCTTAAATATAAAGTCTTATTTCTTTTTTTTCTTTTTTTTGACCTTGAAGTCTTATTTCTTTTGATCTTCCTCATTAATTTTTTTAAATCATAACCTCTATTTAATGAAGCATTGTTATTTATGCATATCAAATTTCAATAATTAAACGACAGTGTCCTATGAGAGAAGATATTTAAATAGAAATAGTAGTAATTGAGTAAATAATACTACGCTCTTTTGGTCCTCCTTATCTATAACACCAACGTAATTTCAAAAAGGGAATCACACGTACCGCTTGCTTGATTTGATCCGCTACTTGCCATTAGAATCACCAAATTTACCCAGTCGTGGACATCAAAAAGGGAAAATAATTTATAATTAAATATTCGTCTTTTTTTTTTTTGTCGTAGCCAATACTCTTATTATTTTTATTTATAAGTTTCAAATTTAAAAATGAGTATAATCCATTTTATAAGCTTTAATGTAGGGTTTATCTAAACGTTCAATGTATTTTTTTAATTTTGCCTTAATTATTTATTTTCTCTCATTTGCCTTACTTTTGTATCACATTTTCCTATATATTCTTTTTTATCATTTGTCTCATTTATTATAAAGGTATATTTAAAAACGAAATTATGTTTCTAACCTACTTATTACTTTTAACTAATTTTAATTAGTTGTTTGTTTTTTATTTGAAGCTTACAATATGCTCCTCCGGTACTCCTCTTTATTATTCCTCTGGTCCTAACTATGAAACACATTTTGTAGTATAATTTCCATTTAGTAGTATAAATTATATTACAAAATGAGTTTTATATTTAGAACCAGAAGAATAATAAAGAGAAGTACTGAATACTTGTCATCGAATCTACAAATTATTTTCCAACGAAGTCTTTATTAATTGCGACATAACCAAAGGCATCATCGTTCTTATTACGTTCTGTTCACGCAACTCCCTCCCCAGCTGTTTCTTTTCCCTTTTAATCCTCTGGAATCCAGATGACTGCTTTTAAAATTAATTGCTTTTATGCATTCTTATTTCTTGTCGTTGCTCCCTCTTATCCTATTTATAAATTTTAAATTTAAGAAGGATATATTTTATTTTATAAGTTTTAATTTGAATTTTTCTTAACATTTAATGTATTTTTTTTTAATATTGTCCTTAATTATTCTCTTTTATCACATTTTTCCACACATTCTTTTTTATCTTTTTTTCATTTATTATAAAGGCATACTTAGAAACAAAAGTATGTTTCTAACATATTTACTGTTTTAAATTAATTTTAACTAATTGTTCGTTATTCATGAACTTAACTGAGATTATTCAAGAAAAAGATCCCTAAGTGCATGCTTTTCACGGATGACATAATCCCCATGGCTGAATCAAGAGAAGAGATTAACTCTAGATTAGAGTTATAGAAAATGATCTTAGAGTCAAAAGGTTTTCACTTGAGCATAAGAAAAACAGAATATATGCATTGTAATTTTGGAGGGAAGCAAGGCAATGGTGATTTGGAAGGGAAAATGGGAGATCAAATCATTTATCGAGTGTCAAAGTTTAAATATCTAATATCTATTATATATAAGGATATATGGTGAAATTAATGGAGACGTTTCTTATAGAATACAAGTCGGTTGGTTAAAGTAGAGGAAGGCTATCTGAGTTATTTGCGATAAAAAAGTATCTGAGAAGCTTAAGAAAAAAATTCTATCAGACTGCTAGAAGACTAACTATATTGTATAGTAGTGAATGTTGAGCAATAAAAGAAAAAAAAAATATATAATTGGGGTAGTAGAAATGCGGATATTGAGATATATATATATATATATATATATATATATGGCCATACAAGAAAAGATAAGGTTTGAAATGAAAATATCAAAGCAAGAGTAAATATGGAGCCTATTGAAGAGAAAATGGTTAAACATCGTTTGAGGTAATTCGCGCATATGTAGAAAAGGCTATTGGAAGCGCCGGTGAGAAGGGTAGATCAGGTAATTTGAAATCCTATAAAAAGGAACAGAGAAAGACCGAGGAGGATGCTTAATGAGGCTATTAAATGAAACCTATTAGTCAACAACATATCTAAATAGTTGATTGTTAATGGGGCACAGTGACATCGTGTGATTCATATAACCGACCTTATTTGGTGGGACAAGTGCTATTGTTCGTTATTTATAAATTAATTATTTGAAGTTTATTATTAGAAAGGTTTTTTCACGCCCAAATATGAACTTATAGACACACATATATAATTATTCGTGTGCATGTGGGTGTGAAAACTCTTATCAAGAGACTCGACTGCAAAATCATGTCACTTATGTAAAGTTGGAATGTTGGATTGAATGAGGTTGGATCATCAGGCATTGCCGGCCATCCTGAGTAATAAACTTAGGACGAGGGATCAGTACATGAGGAGAAAACTCATGGGCATTTGGAGTTCTCCTTGAAAATTCACATGTCTATTTCAATAATTATAAATACATAAAGGACCAGCGTTTGTACTCATCACAAAATATTAAAAATATAAAATAAAATTATCTTAAATATGGACGGTCTAATTTTAATATGGATCACCAACATTTGGTCTCAATCTGAACTAGTTTTAATGCTTATTGTATGGTTTATACCAACACTGACTTACAGAGATTGTAGGACTGCAAATGAAGAAACTGATAGAAAATGTAATAGAGAAGACCATCATTTTATTACGAAACTTGTATATTTTACATAATAAAGAATAGACATTTATGTCATCCTACTATAACTGTGATGACTACAATGCAAAAGAATGAAAGAATTGAACCCAAAATCTTCACATCCACAAACACTACAGTACTGCAATCGTCACTGAAAATAACAAATTGAACGGTTGGGCTGCTGCTCTGTTTTGTCTTAGGAGGTTCTGCATTCTGGAGGAAGGCCCTGAGGAAACCTCTTGGAATCTGTGCAGTAATTGTAAATCATGTAGTTTTTCTGAACCCATCTCAGCCTCCCTTGTGAAGTTGTGTCAAGCTCCTGAGAGAACCACGGAGAATTGGTGGAGGATGAAGTTGAAGATGAAGCACAGGAAGATTTGCCAGAAGACCAGACGCAAGCATCGGCTTTGAAGTTTCTGTAGGAAGCAGTGAAGGGAGCCTGAGACCAATCCGTCTTCACGAGGCCGCCTCTTGTTGCCCAGTCATCTGCATTCCACAGGCTTGAGTATATCCTCATTGGCTGGTTCTTGGGAAATGGCACACCAATGGACTCTGAGTTCTTGAACTCTCTGATGGGAGTTCCATCCACTGAGAATCTGAATCAGATTTAAACAGAATCATATATCAGTCTATGCACACGAAAGAGGACAGAAGAGAAATACAGGGAAACAGTTGAGTGGAGAATAACAACTTACATGATCCTTTGGGGGTTCCAGAGGATAGAGTAAGTGTGGAAATCTGCGGTTGGGTCAAACCAGAGATAGAATTGTTGCTCTCTGTTGCCTTTTCCCTGGCTGAACACGTTGGTGTGAAGAATGTAAGGGTCACCGCTCAGGTTTCCCAGAAATTCGTAGTCTATCTCATCCCAGTTTGATCCCTTTGATGATAACTGCAAGTGCAGATTTATATTAGCGACAACGGGTATTAATCCCTTCAAGGGATATTATTTAATACCAATAACAGGATCAAAAAAGGAAAGAAAAAAAGCTTACATAATAGGCAGTGACGGTGCCAGCAGAGTTTCCAGGGACAAGCTTGAGCTGCATGTCGATCTTGCCAAAGAGATACTCATTCTTGGATTGAAAGCCTGAGCCTGAT